GTCAATATGTTTCTGTTTCACTAGTAGTTATGGAGATGTAGCAGTTGAATAATGTGAGTGTTGGGGAGTATCGTTAGTTAGTGTGTATTTATAGTGCTGCGTGTTGGAGGAACATACCAAGACAGATGCGGAGAAGGGAGACAGCTTTCTTCCATGTTCTATAATTCGGATTTAATTCTAATCAATTATCAAAACTTGTATTTCATTTTTTTTAAATAGATAATAGAAAAAAATATTTGATTAATTAGCACCAAAACAGAATATAAACGGAATAATGTGATTAAAAGAAAGGTTTAGTTAGCCAACTCTGATTGACTAAGGAAAAATTATAGAGGAAGATGAGTCACGTAACAAAATTATAATTGGATTTGGGTGATTACAAACCATAATAGTCCAAAATCATATAAATAGAAAACTGTAATATACAAAGTTGAAACAATATTTGCATATATAGATAGTGCAATGTTTTTTTTTGTTTGGGTTAAAAGATAGTGCCATGTTTTGGGTAACACTCACTGTTTATCAATCATGTCCAACTTTCTAATGGTATTATCCACGGAATCTTTTACATTTCATGGTCCCTCTCCTATTACTTATTAGTAACATATATATATATTTTTTTTATATATAATCATAACAGGTGAAAAAAATATGTTCAAAGTCTAGTCACACACACTATACAAAAAGTCCAGGTTTATCTACCAGACCTAAGAATAGATATTCCCATATAGATTTCTCGTTTAGAGATTGTATGATCCGAACTATATTATACTCTTCTCCTCCAACAAATTTTATTCTCAAGACTTGGTCGTATTTTTCATGATCCTGTATATTTTTTTACATAGAAATGAACTTAAATATATATTACCTTAAAACTTATTAATTCCATATGTTTTCTTCGTATTACGTAGAAGATAGACCTATTTGTAAGCTTGAATTCTTTGTACTACCAAATTAAAATTTTAAATTTCTTACGAGGAGAAAATAGTATTTTGTTTTTTTTTTTCTAACAAGATGCCTTTTCACCTAGTTATTATTGAAAACAACTACTAGTACTGAATACTAAATTTAACTATTCAACATTTCATATTTGTATCAATAAATATATCTGCAAATACATATATTGTTATGAACGCTACAATTGCATTTTGGACCGCTTAGTTATACTATGTAATAATATAAACGAGGAATAGAAGAAACAAAGAGTTTGGTCGTAATTTTTTTTATATTCTCATCGTGATTAATATAATTCTGTATATGACCTTAATGATATACATCATATTTCTTCAGTCATATAGTTTTTTTTTTTTTTTGTCGACAGTCATATAGTTAAGTGATATATATAGTGAGAATATTCTTAAATTCCACCTTTAAGTAAATTGTCACGTAGTTATTTTTCCTTTGTAAAATTGTAAGTGGTTGAAGCAAAAGGATATGGTGGGGATTATGAGGAATAGCACAATTGAGTAAGCTAATTGGTCTCTCTGCTCTTGGAGGATCCAATCCATCAATGGATGAGAAGAAGATCTTCAAGGTTGAATAAGAATATCATCAAAAAGTAATCTTACCCAAATCCAACTACTATCCACTAACAATTCCACTAATTTTTATTCATAAAATATTGTTTATTTTGCATTATTTTTAAGTCAAAACTATACATGTGTCTTATTTACAGGTCTAGAACGATCCATCCAATTCGTATCAAACAATTGCTAATTCATAGATATAAAAGATTTCATTTCAAACTCAATGGGTGTGAATGTTTGGTTATGTTAGAGTATATTATTTATAAAAAAAAAAAGTATATTGCGCTGAGTTACATTATAATGTTGTCAATCAAGATGCAAATATTATCGCTAAAGTAGGGTAAATACTTTTGTGTTTTTGTGATTTATAAAGTAAAATTTCCCTCCTCTTTTTTGTATAATAAAAGTTTTACTCCAAAATTGA